AGTAACGTGTGGTTAATTGATCATTCATAACGCATGAAAAAGAGATACTAAAAGTGCATCTGTAGTCTGCAAAGCAGTAAAAAGCTGGCAAGAGAGAAACTCGATAGGATTGTATTTTAAAAGTAAATGGGTCCTGGCCTGGATTTGAAGGACTGTGTAGGAAGAATAGTAGATTTAGTTTTACTGCTTTCATTTTTGTCAGTGCTTCCGTGTATTTGGTAACTATTACATTTTTTTATAGACACTTATTCAGATAAAGGAGTTTGGTGTGATAAACAAGATTGACTTCTCCCCAGTTTCTCCGTATAACTATGCTGTCACAGCCTCCTCACGGGTAAGTGTTTTTCTCTTGAGGTTTTTAATCTTCTTAGGCTCTGTAAATGGTCTTATTTTGTTTGCCAGCTGGTATTGTGTGAATAAACTTAATGCCTTCTTGTTTTGCTAGATCCATGTTTACGGTCATTATTCTCAGGAACCAATCAAAACTTTTTCTCGCTTCAAAGATGCTGCCTACTGTGCCACATACAGAGATGATGGCAAACTGCTTCTTGCTGGCAGTGAAGAAGGTAGCATCCGACTCTTTGATATCAGTGGAAGAGCACCACTGAGACAGTTTGATGGCCATACTAAGTAAGATGGTGTTGTTTTCTTCCTTGTGTCTATATGCTTGTTTCATGCATTTGTATATGTCTGTGTATTGCTGGCAATCTTTAAAATACTAATCTATGTTATATCCAGTTGTCTCACATTCTTCTTGTTGAAAATTAGGCTTTAAACATCAGAATGTATTCAGTATATATTTTTTTAATTCAAAAAAACTCAAATCAAGTAGATGGAACAAGGAATACATCTTCTAATTCAAGCAGGTGTCCCTTACTTAATATTTGTGTGTTTATAATCTTGTAGCTACAATATATAGGTATATAAATTCTGTTTCATGCTAGGAGAAACAGCGTTCTAAAAATGGGTTTGAAATGGTGGGAAAAAAAAAAAAGCCAGATAGAGCAAAAATCACTTTAAAAAGGAGGACTGGGTAGGCCAGGGGATGGGAGAGAATGGTTCTTATGCTTCAGTAAGAAGAATGTTTGAAATATTAGTTTTATAGAGAGAACGCACTAGGAATATTGAGATTGCATCGATTGCTGTGTTGTGGAAAACTACATGTGTTTTCTCTGTCAACAGCAAAACCCCCTTAATGCTCAGAAAGTGCACAGGCAGAACTCCAAAGAGTGCCTCAAAAGTGTGGCTCCCTTCTGAAAGTGTGTGATGGAGCATTATCTTATGTCTTGACTGCTGGGTTAGCTGTAAATAAGTTTTAGGGTATTTATGTTTTCTGTTAATCTTTGTTGGGATGTTACAGTGGTAATTTAGATTTGAATAGTGATTTTTAAAGGACAAGAAGAGTTTCCAAATAGGTCTTAAAATGTAATAATTATAAATTTAGAGTAAAATACCTCAGTAAGAAGTAAACAATTTACAGCTTTCAAAAAGGCATAAAGTAGCCCTGTAAAATCCTTAAAGCAGGTCTTGTTGGTGCTTAGATCAGTACCTGTCAGCATGAGCTTTTTTTTTCTGTCTGAAAATACAAAATCTGAAGTATTTTTAACTTCTAAAATAGATTAAATATTTTCTTTTAATAAATTCTACAGTCAAAAATAAGTGCTCTGGAAACAAGTATGTATTTTAACTTTTGGATATTGTGGATTGTTTTCTAGAGCTGTTCATGCAGTGGGCTTCCTGTCTGATAAATATAGAATATTTTCTGGTGGTGATGATTATTCATCAAATTTGTGGGATATTCCAAGTGCTGCAGAAATTGTGTCATACAATGAACATTTGGATTACGTACGATGTGGTTGCGCCAGTAAACTGAATGCAGATGTCTTTGTAACAGGTTAGTGTTTTATTTTGCTTTGTTTTTTAAATGTGTCTTTTGGATCCAATAGGAAAAAAATGCAGAAAGATGGTTTCTCTTTGATTTATTTTAAATTGTGTGAATGGTATAACACTAATACCCGTAGGGAGACTGTAAGCAACCTTGCTTTTAACATGCACTTTCTTTGTGCTTTAGCCTGTTAAGGCTACTTGCCTTTGAAAGCTTAAGAAAGTCCTGTGAACGTATCTTTTAGCTGGCATTGACTGAAATGTTTTGTCACCTTTTGGAAGAAGGAGACATTAAACTGTACTCTGTGTGCAAAGCTTGTGATCTCAAAACTGAGTCGTAAGGTGCCGTGAGGTATTGCTTGAAAGCAGTTGCTTTTGGATTTCTTACCAAATGCTATGAAAAATCTTGTATGCTCTATTCCTTACTTTTAGATGTAGAAGATACAGGTTTTATCAGATTTTCTGATCTCTGTTATTTTTACACTTGAGTATCTAAGGAAAATAAAGTTTGATGCCTGACATGTTGATAGGCCTAGAAATGAAAGCTATATACTGTGTGAAGACTGTAAATTAACTCAGGCAAAACATTAGTTTTTAAGTGTATAGTTTAAAATTGTTTGTCAAGAGCTGCTTTAGCTGGTAGCATATGCCTATTTTAGGTTTTGAAATAGTTTCACTTTTGTAATTTCACTTTTATAATTTTGGCATTGATTACAGGTTCATATGACCACACTGTGAAAGTATTTGATGCGCGAGCAAAAAAAAGCATTATGACGATAGAACACGGGCAGCCCGTGGAGAGCGTGCTTCTCTTCCCCTCCGGGGGCCTTCTAGCGTCTGCAGGTATCTAGATAGGACCCTCATTTGAGAAACATTTCAGCTGCTTAGTTCCTGTGTTAAGTCACCATTTCATTGCCAAATAAAAACTTATCAGGTGGATTTCATCAAGGCCTTCTTGGGAATCTGTAGATCTGGGGAGCAAATGTAGAGGTTCTTTGGTCTCCAATTTGTTCATTCTTGTAGCGGATCAAAAATGGACTTTTTAAATGTCTAAATAAAGATTTTAAGAATACATAAGACAGGACTGTATCTTTCTCTTAACGATGATGCTTAGCAAGGCTTTTTAGTCTCCTCTTTTCATTGCATCAGAAAACCTGTGACTCAGTAGAGTCTAAATTTTTTGTAAGGAGAATATTGAGACATTCAGCAGTGCTTGCAGCTCCCTGAAAAAGGGAGCAGACTTGTCATCTGCCTTATCCCTTGTTTGTAATGGGTGATGAGTAGGTACAGAAAGCTTGATGTTGAAAGGGGGAGGCAGGATGTGGTCTCACTCTGAAAACTTCTTCAGAAAAGCAGAATTTTGTATGCATCAAAAACTGTTCTGTGTGCTTCTTTCTCATAGGAGGTCGATATGTCAAAGTTTGGGATATACTAAAAGGTGGACAATTACTAGTTTCACTTAAAAATCACCATAAAACTGTTACTTGTTTATGCTTGAACAGCTCTGGACAAAGGTTGCTGTCAGGATCTCTGGACAGGTTAGTAAATTTTATGACTTCATAGTGACTTAAATTCCTCGGGGTTTCTTTTGTTGTCTTTAAAGGTAAAATATTAGGATGAAGATGTACAGATGATTTGAGCTGAGGTGTTTTTAACAGTTAGGGATGTAATTTATCTGGAAACGTGTCTTGGGCCTGGGTGCATGTTGCAACGTACACTTACCTTTCCCTCTTATTAGCCTGAATATCAGTGGGGATTGCAGATGTGTGGCACTTCTTAGTCAGCATTTGTTTTCCTGCATCTACAAATAGACCTTTGTAGTCTCAATAAAGTGACTTTTCTTACATTAACACAGTCACTATTAGCTAAAACTGGTAGTAGTATTACACAAAAATAAGGTCTTTTATAGGTATCTGCTCAGTTGCTCCCTGTAACCCAAACTGACTCTGGTGGAAGGGATGCATCCAAGGTGCACGAGTCAAAAATGGCCTCATTACAGGATGTCCCTCAGCTCATCCCCTCACCCCCTTTTGCTGACCGCAGTTACTCAACTTGTTTCCAAGACATAAGAAATAGTCTGAAATGACAGTGGTTTATTCTCTGCCTTCCTTCCTCCAGTACTTTCTAGGCTTACTCTAACATTATGTTCAGAAAGCATAAGCTGAAGATCACTAACTTTGTACCTATTTGTCATTCAATGCTTGTAATGCTAGTAAGTTCATACTTTTTTGTAAAGTGCTGTTTTATTTTTCTGTTTGTTATTTCCCACCTTCAGCCAAATCATTAAACAGTAACAGAAGGCAAGAATATTTTTGTTTCCAGAAGTTGTAGCTAGCGCTTCCATTTTTTTTTTTTTTTTCTCTCTTATCCTTCCCCATTGCTGTCTTTTGGGGAGTGAGGGTATTCCTTTCTTTCCTTTGTGCTTTACTAGAATCTTTCTGTTGTCACAGAGACAATAATGAGTAGTAAGTTTAGTCTGAGAAAAGTGTTTAGAAGTTCAATTTCATTAAATTGATCTAACAAAGCTTTAGAAGGATGAAATTCTTCTAAATTGTCTTCAGTAAGGTATTCCTAACAATTTTAAAAAATTACTTTTCTGTACAGGCATGTGAAGATTTATAGTACAACTTCCTACAAAGTAGTTCACAGTTTTAATTATGCAACATCAATCCTCAGTCTTGCATTGTCGGTAAGTTCATTAGAAACCTCCCTAAGCAAGCTAATGATTGGTAACTTTTAAGTAATTTAAGTAATTCTTTTTGCTTTCCTTGCTTCGGAAGCAAATAGATTATTAGATGCTTTAGAAGAATGCTCTGCATACAAAATAGGATCACTGAATATATTTCTCTAGTAAATATATAGTAAATATTTAAACATTAATAAGGCACCAGTTAGACCTTGTTAGATCAGTAAAAAAAAAAAAATGTGTGTGCAAGTGTCTAGGAATATATTTATTTTGAGGAAAGTAGGAAGCTGACAAGGGAATACCCATGCCTTTGGACTTTAAGAAGATTATACTAATCTTTTGCTTTTCAGGAACCTTATGAGTTTCCTTTTACAGCAGTTATAAAGAGATGAAGTAATTCATTTGTGATTGAAAAAGCTTGTGATTGAAGCTTTCTTAGAAGTAGTTAGTGTCAGGTTGGTCTGAGGAAGAAAAGAGCGCATAGGGAATCAGCAGAGACAAACTTATCTGCCAAGCAGGTGTCCCATTGTCTCGAAAACAGAAAACAGAGTTCCTCCAAGCCATTTGAGTTCCAATGGATAAATGACCTTCTGTGAGGAAAGTTGGAGGCCAGCCCCACTTCTTGTAAACACTGCTGTTGTGCTGTAGTTGCCCTCCTGTCTAGCCTTTGAAAGGGGGAGCCAAGGATGCCAGCCCTCTTACATTACTATTGTCCTTGCCCTTAATGAAACCCTGGGGAAAGCAGGAGCTCTTTCTGAAGAGTTCTGCCTACTTTAGTTCTACCTCAAATGAAACCAATTTTGCATTATTTTATTCTATTTTGAATCTGCTGCTGTCATTTGAGAATAGTATCCTCCTAGGATTTAAGGGGGCAAAATTGATTCAGTGACATAATGACCTCCGTTTTATTTTTTATGTAGTTTATTTGCTTTTTCTTAACAGCTGTTGAGCATGAAGCTGATGGTTTTTATATAATTATCTGCTAGTTGTAATAGGTCAGAAAATATTGTTTTATATATGAAGTTACTATTTTACCCCTGTGGATCACTTATTGTTATAATCTTTAGCATTAATAAATATTACCTTGCTATACAGACAGAATCTATACCAGTGGGTGATGTTTTGAACAATTTTCACTTTGTTCTCAAAACTGCTATAAAAATGCTAGCTTTCCAATAGATGATGTTCATATTTGTTGTGTAGCATGTAATAGCCAAAGGGAACTGAACACCGTTTAAAGAACTGTCATAAACTATAGACATTTGCAACCTGAAATAGAAGGATGATATTTGAACCTTAACAGAGGTCTATTAGACCTAGAGGCCTATTAGAACCGGTTGCTTAGGACCATGTCTTTGAGTTTGGCTGTGCTTTGAGCAGGGAGCTAGATGTAGAAACTCCAGAAGTGTGTTCTAACTGAAATGATTATATGATCCTGTGATTAGAGCTTTTATTATGAAGCAAAAAATAATTGGGGGGAAAAAAAAACTTCATGGTATAGCATGCATCAAATAAAGACACTAGAAGAAAATAAAGCGAAGCCTCAAAATAAAAGGCAGCCAGCATATAGAACCTATGTAAAAGGAAGAAATTACATGCCAAAACAGGTATGGCAGGGTGAGAAAATGTATCCTGAAGCTCTTCTCAAGACTGGGTGTGTGTCTGCCTTGCTGTGAACTTCTCTCCTAATTCTAGGAGGATTTCTATGTCAGTAAACCCAGAAAATGTGTTTTGAGGAAGTATGACAAGCTGCTGAAGAGCTTTCAATCATCCAAGGCCCTTGATGCGGTACTAGAGGTAAGGTGCTGTTGTGTTGTCTTAACAGAACTCAATTTCAGTATCTGAAATGGAATTTTATTTACCTCAGACAAACTTTATTCTAATGTAGAACTAAAAGGAATCAAACCTTTCAAACCTTGTGCATTATTATGTATTTACAAATTATGCATTTGTAAACTTGTATCCGTTCTGTTTTGTTTGAAGATGGTGGTTGATACTAAACTTTTCTTTAATATGTCCAGCCCCAAATTAGGCTGTGTACTCCTGAAGTTACAGTTGCAGTCATGCAGGAACTAAATCGCAGAGGGACACTAAGGAGTGCACTTGCAGGCCGAGATGAGAAGCAAATTAGTCTCCTCCTTACCTTTGTGACAAGGTATTTTTTTTTTCCTAAAATATTTCTCTAAGTAGTTATTTTGGTTGTATTTCTTGTTAGTTTTTGCCGTGTAGCCTTAAGGGGTCATGGGTTGGAACACTTGGTACTTCTGAAATCACTGTCTTCTGCTTTCAGATACCAGGGTCTAGGACTTCATCCAGAGTACTGAAATAAATTACATGTTAGCACAAAGCACATTTGCTGATAATGAGAGCCACAAAAAAATGTTTATCTTGTCATTTTGCCTTATATTTTACATCAAGTACTGCAGTTTTCTTTATCTTGATGAAACTCATTCCTGCATGTACAGATGTTTTTGCTTGTCCTCCAAATCCCGTTGCCTTCCCAACAGATGGAGGGCAAATACTGCATGTAAGTTTTAGACTTGTAGCACCGAGTCTCCTGCTTTGTGAGGCTTCTTTAAGAAAAAAAATCTGATCTCTCTGTCTGTGTATGAGAAAGCTCCTTGCAGCTAGTTAGTGGAAGGAGGAGGGCAGTTGGCAAAAATAGTAAAACTAGGTTATGTTCTTATTTTGCAGACATGTGATTGAGCCCAGATTTACTCCTATACTGGTAACTGTTGCAGATATGATCACTGGTAAGTACAATAAAAAGCAGGCTCTCAAAGCCGTAAGGCTTACCTTGGAAATAAGGTGCATGAAGTGCTATGTTTTTAAGAAATCACAGTTGTATGGGTTATAAGTACGAACTTATCCAGATCATTCTTTCACTGCCTACTCTGAGCACGCTCAGTATCTGAGTCTGACTTGTGATGGCTGCAGAAAGCTTTTCATCAATGCTAAACATATCTGATGCTTTGTATTATTGTACTTACGTGGTACAAGTGACTTAGTCTTTTTACTGTGTCCACGGAGAAGCTCATTTGAAGTAGTAATATTTTGTTTCTGTTAGTTTAACATTGTTACTGTGAGAATATACCAGTGATTAACACTCTTTTTAGAACACCATTAAAGTTGTCTTGTTTATCGACTGCATGTGACTATTGCCAGACTCCTTAAATGTATATCTAACTAACCAGTATAATATTCATGTCTTTATGGATATCTGGACTATTAAGTGCCTGTTTCTTTGCAGACATTTATCAGCCCGTGGTTGGACAGTCAGCACTCGTTGATAAACAGTTCTTGAGACTCCAGGAAGCCATAAGAAAAGAGATCGACTATCAAGAGGAACTACTAGAAGTTTTGGGAATGATGGATGCGCTATTTGCTACTTTGACAAAGAAAAAGGCTTCTTCCCTAGAAGAGAACAGAAGTAATGGTCTTACAAAGACTCTGGAAAATGATATGAGTTACTGACTGAAAACAATCACAACAAATTGTCACAAAATCTACATGGACTTGAAATACATGACTTGGTCTCCCAGTAACTTCTTATAACAGCAACTTTCAAAATACCCCCTCTCTGCAGAAGTTCTCTTGCAGAGTGTGTTTTTGAAGAGGCTGGATTATTGAAGACAGAGAAAAAAGGGACTCTTTCAAGACTTTTTCATGTAATATTTTTTGAATAACTGAATTTTAAAATTTTATTCCAAAGCTATTTAACTTTTAAAGTGTTTTGTGCATCCAATACTAAGTCATTATTTGATTTAGAGGAACAGTCAAAAACTTTTTTTTCATCAGAAAATAATTGAGGTTTGTCTGATTTTTGTCATGAGCCTTTATATAGGAACTGGTTAATATCCAAACTCAGGTACTTGGACACAGGAATAAAACCAAGTGCAAGTTTGATATAACTTGACTGCATTGTGTTTTCTCTCTGCTTAGTCTCCATCTCACTGTCATGAATTTATAGGAAACAGTATGATGTAAGAAGATGAGTGCACATGACTTTTTTTTTTTTTTTAGTGCTATAGAAGAAATATGCTCATGTTTGTTCAAAAACTTGCCCTTTTTTAAATGCATATACCTTGAAATAAACTTAATTCTCTACAAATTAGATATCTATTTGAGGGAAATGAATTCAAATTCACTTACTGAATAAACAAAATCCTCATCAGTTAGGAAATTATCAGTTAAGTAGAATTTACTTTTTTGTGTTTTTGTAGAGTCCTATCACTTTTGTTGTACAGTAGATGTAATGCAAGCCTGCCTTCTTTGCAGTATATATTTTGTTGAGTCTGGTTTTCGAATCGATATATTGTGCTTTTAATAATAGGAGAAAGATAATAAGTATTACCAGCTAGCTGGCGTCCGGGCTTTCCCACACAGGGGTCACACCATGGACCCCGACTGCTTCGGTCGTCCTTCTTGTATACCGTTCTTACCCCAAAAATGTTCCCCCTCCCGTTTTCCTGTTCTGCTTTCATGTCAATGTTATCTATATTTTATTGCTGACTGGGACCTCTGGATAAGCAACCCCTCCATGCAGATCATCCTGACTTGCCATATATCAGGAGTCCTTGCAGATAGGTAACCCCTCCATCCAGAGCCACCTATCTTGCCAATTATCAAGAGTTCTTGCACTTTGAGACTAAGTATTGACTAGCTTATTAGTACACTCTACATTAACTATTTAATCCCTGCAGACGCAGCCCCCCTTTTATCCTAATTTCCTGACCGAGGGACGCCCTCTCCTTTTCCCCATTGGCCAAGGTACTCAGAAATTACAGCCTTCCTGGCCCGCCTACACCCAACTCCTGCTTCCCTCCATCTGCTCTCACCTGAGGTCACCCGACTCCTTTGTCCCCCTTGCTGAAGAATGTGGGGGAATTCCCCTATTTCCCTCCTTTGTAAAGGCCCCCATCTCCTTGCAGATACTCTTTTGTCCCACTCACTCATGGCTCTGCTCAGTCTCCCCCCTCCCTTTGTCCTGCTCTTCAGCCAGACTGTGGGGGAATCCCCTTTGTGTATTCACCAATAACTTGAGCAGTCCACTCATAACTTAATCAGGCAAAGTATCTTAGAAGACTTCAAAATAAAGCTTCAGGGATAGATCTTGTTACCTTGCTGGTCCTGTGGGCTTTCCCTTTATTCGAATAAAATTTTAGGACTCCTCTGTCTCCTTTTTGGGCATTCGGTTCTTGACAGCGAGATTTTCTGCACAGGGGAAACAGCTATTTGTGATCATATGAAGTGTGTAAGCTGCTGATTTTGACACTGGAATATATTCCTGAAATGTCTGATTGCTCACATTATACTTTATGTGGTTTTTGGTCTTCCCTTCTGAATTAATCCCTTCAGTGGTAATGCTTGTTCCTGTGCACTGAGCTCACCCCAGATAGCAGCACAGCAGTGCAGGTGAGAGACAGGTGATACTCACACCACAGTATGTGGGTATGCTTTTTTGTTTTATACTTTTTGTTTAGGTCCTTAGAGCAAAGCATCATGTGTGTTTGTGGCCTCAAATTGCACCAGCCTAATGTATTTTTCCTATTGCATTTGGCATTACCCCCTGCTAATTTAGTGGTACAGAGTGTCATAGTGACCTGCGGATGTGTTTGTTGTTACCTGTTACTGGATTTCCTCTTTTTAGAGGAACTGTATTTAGTCTTGCTGTAAATTAGTATTTTTGACTTCTGATGATTTTTATTCTGATGGATTCTAGATCTTTTTCTCAGAGGCCAAATCTTGCAGTCCTTACAAGAAACTTCTGTCTGTCTCCGTGAAAAGAGTGAACCTCTGTCACCTTCTCTAGCCTAGTGAGGAAGCAGTAAGTTTATTTTGAAGCATCAATCATGCAGTGTGTGCAAGTTCAGAGAATCCTAGTAGATTAGATGTACTACAGCTTGTCACTGAGGGCATTATTAAAATAAGCTTGACTAAAAACCCCAGGGCTTTTCAACTTGATTTTTTATTAAAATAAAAAAGCCATATTTCCCTCTTCTTATTCAAAATAATTAAAGAATTAGTCTCCAGAATTGTCAGCAGGCTGGAATTGAACTTGTGCATGAAAGCAGTCATATAGAAACTGAGGCCACTCTGAATTTAGTGCAACCTCCTGGCATATTGCTGGCCATTACATTTCCCCCAGTTATCATGTATCAAGGTCACAGACTTGTTAGGGCAAACGTTTTGGCTCCTAAGAAAAAGCATTTGCCTGCTGCAGAAGGCGGGGAGGCCAAAGGGAGTTGTTGAGGTGAGAGAAGTTCCCAGCCGTGTGCACTGGGTGACTGCGCAGACCTGACCAGGTTAGATGAAGACTGTCTTGAAGGAATGACTTACACAGAGCTGATCCTGCCTTCAGGTGGAGGAGTCATTTAGTTGACCTTTCAGGATCCCTTCCAGCCTTTTTCTTTTTGCTTGAAAAGCATATTTTGGTCATCTGTTTACACATATATTAATGCTTTATATTTTTTTTTCCACCAAATATTTATTTGGATGCATAATCCTTGGCTATTAAACATCAATAAAAATGGCAACAGCTACTGCAAAGACTTATTTTCCCTTTTAAAAGGGCATTGAATTTAACCCAAAATGGTGAAGTTGCTGAAATTTCATATCAAAATGAGACAGTTTATAAACTTTCACTAAACTATTTCTGTTGAGGCTTTCTCCTCAAGGTCGTACTGAGACCTTGTTAGAAGCTTCCTTCAGTTTATATTCAGAGATGCAAGTGGCTCCTGAACTCCTTTTTCTCACTCTTTGACCAGAACTCCAAGCTGCCTCGGTTGTTGGTCACTGGGTTTCCCCAGGATGTCTCACCCTGAACAAAGGTAGAGATGTTTTTTACTCGTGCCAAGAGGTTTCTGTACAAATGCTTTCCGTTTGTTGCAAAGCTACCTCATACTGAAAAAAGCACCTAAAAACACTTGGTGCGTAAAGCTCGTGTTGTTTGGAGTCACACACTAGGTATTGCCTGTGAGCTGGAAGAGCAGCTCGTGCACACACACAGACACTGAGGACCCAAGTTTTATCTCCTGTGAATGTGTGAGGTTTCCTTGATATTGGTATTTTGCCAGTGTAAGTCAGCAGAGGATTTGGCTCTTCTCGAACCCACCATTATGTCCATATCTATTTTTTATTAAAAATGATGTGTAGAATTTGGGCAGTGTGTAATACTATTTTGAATATACCTTATCTATATGTGGAATTATGCTTGTTCTGTTATTGCAGATATAAAAGGACTGTTATGCTCAGTTGCTTCTTCTTTTGACTAGTTGAATTGAGGGGAAAAAAGCTAGCAGCTTTCATTTGAGATGTTTTGAGCTTTACAGTTCATAAGTTAATGCCTGTGCTAAATATTCAGTTCTTATCTTGTTTTGTCTGTTTGCTATTCCTTTTTTCCTTCCTTGTATGTAATTGCTGTTTCACTCCTTGTTCAGCCTTGAATCCAGTTGCATTCCTTTCAAATAGGTAGGCTTATGCTTTCTTAAACAGTTCCGTGACAATGTTTACTACAGTCTGCCTGCAAGAGTTATTTGCAACTCACCTGCTGCTTCTCCTGCAGATTATTTGTCATCTTTTGTGTAGGACTGTAGATGGTTGGAACTAAGTTTGATTACAAAGGACATGAAAGCTATATGGTTTTTCAGGAAAAATATCTTGCTGCTGTTCTTATTTAAAATCTATCTAAATTATCTTCCAACAATTTGCCTTAAAATATCAAGTTTTCCTGAAATGAGTCTTTGGATCATTGAAGAAATGTTTTAATGCACTTGCCTTGTTCTGAGGAAAGAGCCAATCTTTTCACTCTGGCAGGGACTACATAAAGATGAGGAAATTAGTAAGTAAAATTCTCCTGCCTCTTTCATGTTATAATGTTATGAGTTAAATAATCATGATGTTATCTTTTGTCCTTAAATTTTGTGCATCTATGCATAGCAGTTTTTCAGGACTTGTCTTAGCCAGAATTGTTAAGAGAAAGTTGCAATGCAAAGATTTTAATTATCTAAAGTAAATACAATTCTGAAATTAAACTGCCTACATGCCTACTGTATACTGGAATGTACTGTTTAACTTGCATATCTATGTTAAACTGCAGTGGATAATGACAGGTTGCGTGGAGGATAAAAGCCCTATTATTGCCAGCAATACTTGGGGATTCTCATTTACTTCAAATTCTGGGATTTGTGTGTTTGGAACAAAGAAGCCATGATTTACCCTTGCAAATATAATTTCCGTAGAGCATGTGATTACACATATATTAACTGTTTATATCATTGCATGTATAGATAATATCCTTACAAGTCCTGAGTTCATACATTATTTCTTAAGATATTATATTGCTTGTATAGTTTAGTAAAGAGGTTTTTAGAGTATGTTAGGATGCATGCTAACAATATCTAAAAATGTGAGTAACTATTTTCATGGTAAAAGACTGTTGGGAAAATGGATTTATTTAAGACTAGTATAGGAAC